GTGTATGTGTGTGTGTACCATTAGGGATGTTGAAGAGGCTGATGAGTTTGTTTCTGGCTGCATAAATCCTCTTCAACTGGCCGAGATGAAGCAGACCGACAGGAAGACACTCCAGCTCATTCTCACACACATTCACATGGGACAATCTACAGAAAACACGGGCAAAAGAGGACATATCAGCGAGAGACGAACACCATGGAGCCGATCACCATCAGTAATGGCCCTGACAGGATCTGCAGATGTTTATGACCCTGATTATATCTGTGTGTGGCATGTGAACGGTCAGAAGGATTGTGAAAGGTGTATGGAGGCATTACGGACCGGCTGCAGATGATCTCCTGCGATGAGGTCGGGGTGGGCAGCTCTCGCAGCTGATTGTGGCACAGGTTGAGCGAGCGCAGATGAATCAGACCCCAGGGCACCACAGACGGCAGCGAGCTCAGACAGTTACGAGACAGATCCAGAACCGTGATCCGAGACGACACGTCCATGAACCAGTCCAGATCCAACCAGGGCAGCTTCAGTCCGGACCAGTCAACATTCACAGCCTGAGTTTCCTGACATCGAGTTAAAGATGTCATGATTAAACAATCCTCGTAGACAAACATTAGTGTCGATCACTGCTGTAAATGCTGACATGACACAAAATGTTTAAACACTAAATTGTACAGTTTAGCAATAATAAAGAGGAATATAATTAATATAATATATAATTAATAAAATGACCAAAATAAAAAATACAGAATAACACATACATATATAATCACTAGTACAGAATAATGTAATGTATAATTAATACAAAAAAAATCCAAAATAACACACTCCTACATAAATAATTACTAGTACAGAATATATAATATAATAGAATAGAATAATAAAATTAATAATAAAAATAAAAATAAAAAATACAGAATAGCATACATACTAGTATAATAATATAATATAATATAATATAATATAATATTCATGTCATTGTATCATTCGTATGAAAGTTTAACTAAAACTAAAAATCTCTTTTTTTATTATTTAAAAGTCTAAATGAGATTTGAGAAAATGTTTTCAAACGGATTAAGTGTAAACGTTTACTTATAAATATTACGTTATAAAACGGAGAGTTCCGGTCTTTGATTCTGATTGGTTGAGCTGCGTTCGAAGCTGTTGTAAATTACTCTTCAAACATACACCTTTGTTTACGTTTGTGTGCTGCTTGGCAACCACTTTGTTGCAACCACAAATGATTCTGAGGAACTACATTGTTTAGTGGAAGAATACTGTTTTTATTAATATCATTACACTTTATTTGCTCTGTTTTATTTTGTGAAACTTTACTACGTATATGGAATAACCGTTTTATAAAAGCAATAAGCCCCGTGCTTGTTGCTTCGCTTCGCGTCGTGCCTAACAACGCTCCTTAGCTGTTATAAATTCACTGTAAACCACGGCTTCTTGGGGCTTATTGCTTTATTTAGCCACCATAATAAAGTCAATAACAATGCACAGCAATAAAATATTGTTGAACTAGTGCTAAAAATCTTTGTGTTTGTAAAGAAATGAATAGAGTCAATGTAAAAATTCCAAACTCATAAGCAGGAACTTTCCAGGAGGATGTGAAGCATAGTGACTAGACTTCATTTAAACACACTTCTTGCATAATTTTTACACATGCTGGTGTTTATAAGCTCAAATGAACTGAGAATCGAATTGCATGAATTTAGTTCAATTTAACTCCTTTTATTAATGTTATTAAGTTTTAAAAATCAATTATACTTACACCACAGGAACCGCACACCAGCTCCTCTAATACACATTATTCTCCTTTTACTGTGATTTTGATGTTATTTGTCAGTGTTTATGCACAGGTATGAAGTCTCGTCCTGAATACATTTATAAAGAGGAACTGGCGCTAAAACTTCCGTAAAATGAAGCCGCAGCACTGTTCACGAGCCCAGCGCTGACCTTAAAACAATTCAGCGGGATGAGTCTCACCTGCAGCAGCGTCCCGTCCGCAGGTGCGTCTTTGTCCTGCAGGTGGCGCTGTCTGAGCAGCTGCCTGCTGAAGTCTGCGTGATCCATCAGCGTGTACGAGGAGAAACCGGCTCCATTGTCCAGCAGAAAACACGCGACCTCCTTATTTGCTGAGGAGAAAACCAGCTTCAGTAAGAGCAGGAAGAGCTTTCACTTTATTTCTCCACACCTCCGCGCTGAAAGAGGAAGTGAGCGCCGGGGAGGAAGTGCATGTGTGTGCTGGAGCAAAGCGGGAAAACCTGATCAAAATTCCCCTGCTTTCACTTTTCAGGACCAGTGTACAGTTCAGGAGGATAAAGCTTAACTAGTTCCTGACAGAAAAATCCAAAAATGATGAGTTAATAAATGTCCTCATTACTGGTCAAACCAAATCACATCCTTCACTTTAAGAAATTCAATAAAACTAGACCAGGGTTCCCAAAACTGGGGTTTGGGAGTTGATCATAATTCATTAAAGGTAATAATTCATAAATCAACCTTAACCTCAACCTCAATAAATCATTAAGGTAATAATTCATTAAAATTACAAAAATAAATAAATAAATACAAATTATTATTAAAAAATAAATATTATTTTTAAAAAATATATAAAAAAGACAATTTTATTTGATTGCTTTCATGTCATGTGACCATTAACCTACAATGAGAGCTGCAAACAAGCAAAAACATTAAATGACTGAAATATTCTCTTAAAATCTCAGGGTCATTTCACGTATATTCAGAGGTGTTCAGCTGAGAGAAAAGTTTGTACAAATTTTAAAGTAACATATCACTGATAATTTAGTTTATGTATTTATGTATTTACACCTTTATCTGAAAAATGTAACATTTTGGTAAAATTTTACAATCAGTTCTCATTTGTTAACATTAGCTAAAATCAACTAACACCGAGCAGCATTTCGTTTACAGTATTAATCTTTGTTAATGTTATTTAATAAAAAAGAATTTGTTCATTGAGTTCATGTTGGTGCATTATTAATGTTAACAGCTATAACTTTTGAGTTTAAAAATGTATTAGTTAATGTTGAATTTAATTGTTGTAGAAGTATTGCTCATTGTTCATGTTAACGAACATATGTCAGTTTATATGAAATGTCTTATTTTTTCCTCCCATGTTTTAAATAAACGCTTAAATGCTTAAAATAAAATATTTGACATTAAAAATAAATAATTAATGATCAAAAAGCATGTTTAATCAATTGAATTAAAAAACTATCGGTTTCTTTTAAAATAATACAAATTAAATATAATGCATTTGTAGTTTTGGTCAAATAATGTGCTGCTTAACAATTATTATAAATAGTAATTTATTTCTGTCAAAATTTCATTAAGTTGAACTAAACAATGCCGTCTGGAAATCACGGGGCCCTACATGGATAACTAATGTTAACAAATGAAACCTTACAGTAAAGTGTTCCCTCAGCGATTCACATCAAAAGTGACATTTAAAAAAAAAGCATAAGAATGCAATCAAATTGGTGTGAATGAGCCCTGAAGGAATCGATTCAGAAGTATTCATATCCTCTGCCAATATTTGCTCCTGGTGTGAATACATATTTAGTCCTTCCCAAATGTCATGCATTATTGCCTTATAGTTTAACAGACATTCTCTGCAGTAATAATGAGAAGTATGTGATGAGCAGAAGCCTACAGTACCTGCCTGTGCTGCGGCGTACAGGGGCAAACCGGTGATGATGGCAAACTCTCCTGAATGAACAGCGCAGTCCTCGGCGTCAGCATTGTACGTATGAACCAGCAGCTTCACCACCTCTAGATGACCCTGCTGACACGCCGTAGCCAACATCCAGTTCAGCAGATCCTTACGGACACACGGACCTAACGAAAAAGAGAGTCGTTTCCGAAGTGGAGAAAAGTACTATATTTTAACATGTGAAATATAAAACTGACAAACACAGTTTTTTGGTCTCTGGAATAACATGCACCAATGAATCATGTATAATAAGACCTGGAATATGCATTAAAGGAACACTTGAAAATTTGCCGAAAATGTACTCATCCTCAGGCCATCGAAGATGTAGATGAGTTTGTTTCTTCATGGGAACAGATTTGGAGAAGAGCCAAAACTGAGTTCTAAACAAATTGTTGGAAGGACTTTTTCACTGGACATGTTATTATGGACTATGGACTCATATTTTGGCCAGAAGAAGTGACAGTTTAAAGTTAAAACATTGTAAACGTATAAGTTAAAACTGATGGACTGGAGTGGTGTGGATTACTGTGATGTTTTTATCAGCTGTTTGGACTCTCATTCTGACGGCACCCATTCACTGCAGAGGATCCACTGGTGAGCAAATGATGCAATGCTACATTTCTCATCTACACTAACTTTTAAGCAAATTTAAATTTTTGGTTGAACTATGCTGTATCACAAGTAATCCACACCACTTCAGTCCATCAGTTAATGTCTTGAGAAGTGAAAAGCTGTGTTTTTGTGAGAAACAAATTCATCATTGAGACATTTTTAACTTAAACTGTTGCTTCCGGCTAAAAGTCCATAATCCATAACAACACTTTCTCCAGTGAAAAAGTCATCTCGTCTGAATCAGGAGAGAAATATGCACAGATCAAGCACCGTTTACGAGCCAAAACTAAGTTCTAAACAAATTGTTGGAAGGACTTTTTCACTGGACATGTTATTATGGATTATGGACTCATATTTTGGCCAGAAGAAGTGACAGTTTAAAGTTAAAACATTGTAAACGTACGTGTTAAAACTGATGGACTGGAGTGGTGTGGATTACTGTGATGTTTTTATCAGCTGTTTGGACTCTCATTCTGACGGCACCCATTCACTGCAGAGGATCCACTGGTGAGCAAATGATGCAATGCTACATTTCTCATCTACACTAACTTTTAAGCAAATTTAAATTTTTGGTTGAACTATGCTGTTAAGAATGTAAATAGGGTTCATTTTGATTGCACGTTGACTTTAAGGACAGTGGATTTGGTTTGCGCTCACGTGGTATGGAGTCCAGCAGCTCTCGGACCAACAGCTGATGTCCATGATGTGCTGCTAAGACGGCAGGGTTTTCTTCGCTGGGCTCCTGTGGAACCGTAACTCGAGCTTCCTGCAGCAAGAACCGAACGCCGTCCAAGTCACCGTTCTGAGCCACCAAACACAGGAGCTGCACCTACACACACAAACACACAGACTGTCTTCAGGAAAAGAGTTAAAGCAGTTTAAATCATCCTGTAATATCAATTCTTCTTAATCAAAACAGATGCTAGATTTGTTAATATTTACAGTAAATATATGGCATGGCAGGTTTCTACCTGACATTGCAATGAAAAACAAGGTGGAAAAAAACTTTATTATAATATTTTTGCACTTCTGCAGGCTTGTTTGTCCCACATACTGGAAAATCTGTGGATTGTGTGAAACCACATGTCTGGTCACAGAGAAATCAACACTAGGTGGCAGAAATGCACCTTCTCAAATGACATTCCACGGACTGAATAGATTAGATTTTTTAATGTTTTTAAAAGAAGTCTCTTCTGCTCACCAAGGCTGCATTTATTTGATCAAAAATACAGTAAAAACAGAGAAATTGTAAAAACGTATTAGAATTTAAAATAAATGTTTTCTATTGCAATATATTGTAAAATGTATTTTATTTCTGTGATCAAAGCTGAATATTCAGCATCATTCCTCCAGTCTTCAGTGTCACGTGATCCTTCAGAAATCATACTAATATGCTAATTTGCTGCTCAAGAAACATTTCTTATTATTATCAGTGTTGAAAACAGTTGAGCTGCTTCATATTTTTCATACACTGGAAACAAATTCTAAAAAAATTAATTCTAAAAATCCTATTTAAAACAGAAACCTATTGTAACATTTTAAACATTTTTACTTTCACTTTTGATCTATTTATTGCACTTTTGATCAATAAAAGTATTAATAAAAAAAAATTATAGTATTAAAATAAATCTTACTGATCCCAAACATTTCAATGGTAGCTTATTACTGATTTAGTGCATAACTAAAAAAATATAATTACAGCTAAAAACTGTAGTGTAGATGCACTGTGAGAATATTTGATTAATGTTTACATATAAATTCATGTTGTCCATAATGAACCTGGTGTTTACCTGGCTATGTTGAGAAAGCAATTCCTTAAAGGGGTCATATGATGCTGCTAAAAAGAACATTATTTTGTGTATTTGGTGTAATGAAATGTGTTTTGTGAAACGCGTCGATTTTTACAAAACTCATCGGTCTGAAAAAGCGAGGTGTGCTGTGATTGGCCAGCTATCCAGTGCGTTGTGATTGGCCGAATAGAAAGGAAAAAATGAAATCGCATCATATGACCCCTTTAATGATTACTGAATACTGCTTTGTTTTCAACTACTATGTGAAACAGCATTTTAAACAGTAGTATGCTACAGTAAGGTCACATGACCATTACATATTCAGCAAGTGATGTTCAGTTATCGGTTTCAAAATTGAATTGGTCATTTTGCATTTTCATCCTCTTTTGTGTCAAATTACTTTACCTTTTAACAGTCCAAATTTATGCTTCAAAAATAAGCAAACATGCTTCATTCATTCATTCATTCATTCATTCATTCGTTACACTGGAAATGAAAGCTCATGTCGAGCACTGCATTGGGGGATACCGTTTTCATTAAAGTTTGCCCTGGATGCACACTGTATATTTAGACAAATGCAGTTGGTTGTAGTAAGAGGCATATGCTAGAATTATATTTCAAAAATAGTCATTCACTTCTAAATCATGATTTAATTTCAGACAAAACAGCTGTTTAAATGCGAGTATGCACTTCCTCATTCTTGTACAGACTCGCTGTGGCCTACAGACACTAAAATAGTCCTTTTTTTCCCACCGATCTCTGTCTCTGAATCGGGGTTAGAAGTAAGTGCAAGACTATTTCGACTGCTATTTCTGCAGTTTGCAAACTGTATGCAGAATGCATATTTTTTTATTATCATACAGTTACTTTTACACAGTGTTTACAAAAAGTACACTTTCAAAGCAGCTTTTCAAACAAGTATCGCAGTACTGATATCAAATTCTATTTAAAGCTTAAAAAAAACAAAAAAATGCAAAAGTATGCAAAATGCAAAGATAATAAATACATTAGCGCTGCCCCCTACTAAAGGTAGTCACCTAATCACGCATTTATATTAATTTAATGAATTAAATATATACTAGGGGTGGGGAACTTAACCATAATGAGCTTTTATTATATAGCCTATTCTGCACTCAAGCGCACACATAAAGCTTGCCACAAAGCACCGGCAAAAAGTAAAGTCTATGAATGTGTGGGGAAAAACAGCAAGAAGATATTTTACTTATTTATTAATAAACTATTGTTTCCTCCGTCAGTGTGTCAGCTGCAAAGATGAAGTGGATGCGGACTCGTCAGAGAGAAATGCACCTTTCATATGGATTACACAATCAGAGATTATTTGTATTTTGCCTATACGCTGAATTTCGCCGCGCTCCAGTGCACGGAGACAGAAATGGCAGAAAGTCCTGTTTGTTTTCTTAATTTTACAAAAGCACATTGTCTTCTTGATATTGTGTGTATACAAATAAAAGCAGACCCCTGACAGTTTTGAATGATGCATTACTCTTATCTGAGCAATAATAACGGCATATTTTGTTTCCACTGTTATCAGCAAAAATGCCAACATGCAGTATGCGTGCTAACAGCTTTCCTCTCTCCACACAAACACTTGGATATGCGCCTACTAACGCACATTTATCTTACAGCAAACGGTCGTGTAAAGTTGCTACTACTTGCATGTTTTGCAGTGATAAGCCATATTTGAGGTTGATGAATGATAAGTGAACGTTTGGTGTTCCTGCCCGTTACGGACACAGACAGTTTTTTTTTTTGCAACTAACCGTCTAATAAAAATTGTCGACTAAGCCTCTTCTAATGTTTAGTTGACTATTAGGGGGGCAGCCCTAAAACACATAATGAAAATAACTTATATATAAAGCATAAAAATAAATATATAAAATATAATAAATAACAAATATAATTCTAAAATTAACAATTTTATTTACATATAAAATCAAAATAAAATATTTAACTTGACCTTCTATACTTCATAAGTTACATCAAGTGTGATTTATTTTAATATTTTCTTCTTAATATTTTAAGCCATTATTTGATTAACTTATACTTGTTTATTCTTCATTTTTTAAGTTGCTTTGGATAGATGATGTCTGCTAAATGAACAAAAATAAATAACCATTTTATGTATGTCAATTTCTGAATTAACCAGTACAAAAAAATCATGTGACAACAATGTTTAACATACTATTTAAAAAAAAAACAATAAGAAGTGTACACTGCTCAGTATGCAGTATTTCATTCTGAATGTAGCCCACGTGTTTTACAGTAACACACAGAAATATCTGAAACATAATATTTGCACACATTTCTAATCTCTGAGGCCACTGAAGCAGCAATTGAACGGGACTAATGTGATGAGTGTGGAAGCAGAAGCAGAGGATCAGATGTGGGTTTGTTAACTGATGGCCGGTTAGGAGCCATTACAGTCACATCATCAATCACTCATGGCCTCATTAGAGACCTGTAACAGTATTTACAGAGGAATATCTCTGCACACTCACTGACCACACGCTGTCATGTCATCTGTAATCACCTTACTGTGAACAAAGCCTTTCAAGAAACAAACACGCCTTATAATTCATCTTTCTGCCTCGCATTAAAAATAAAATTCAAGTTTGGGATTTTTTTATGTTTTTGAAAGAAGTCTCTTATGCTCATCAAAGCTGCATTTATTTGATCTAAAATACAGCCAAAAAAAAGGTAAAATATTAATAGAATTTAAAAAGCATTTTTGTATTTGAATATATTGTAAAATGTAATTTATTCCTGTGACGCAAAGCTGAATTTTCAGCATCATTACTGCAGTCTTCAGAGTCACATGACCCTTCAGAAATCATTCCAATATGCTGTGAAAATGTCTTCTGATTGCTAGGAAGGTGGTTGTTAAGGTGTTCTCAATGGTTGCTAACCATAAAAACCATAGGAACCAACATAATGACAGTTTTATATCCAAACACTCTCCTTGTCTGCCATTGGTCGAGTTAAACAGATAGTCCCGCCTCGAACTCACGTCATTGGTTGAGCCAAATCTTAACATAGTCAGGTGGTTCAAACAAACAGATCAGTGTCACAGTGTTTACACAACAGGGAAATAAACATGCAAATGGTTTATGTTATTTCTGCATATTAAGCTGTGACAGGAGGAAGTACTTTTGTTTAGAAGAAATTATACACAATGATACACCTCAAAATCCAGAGCAAAGCCTCATCATATTCAAATGATTTGAGCTGGTTTTGTTGCTGTTTTATATTTAATATTACGTCCACTAGAGCAGATTTACAGGCCAAAACATGTTTTAATGTTAAAACCATAACAGAACACCATCCACTTATCAGCATCACAGACTGTAAACACAAGCCATTGTAGTGTTTTGAGTCTATGGCAGGTCCATAATGGGTTTCTACTGTTTTAAAAGGCACATAATTAATGCGTGCACTGTATTTTTTTTTACACATCAAGCATGAAGGTGAAAACTGAGAGAAGCATGTGAGAAAAAAGCTGTGATATTCAATACTTGTTAAAAGGCTCTGCCTTCCCTTTAGCACAGTATTGTGTGTGTGTATGTGAGAAGTATCAAGGGTTTCACAAGCATGCTTTCAGTGCACGCTTCCCCTGCTGATGCAGATCAGAAAAGCTCATGCAATCTTATACTAAGCCAAGCCGGATACTTGACTATTGCTCATTCTTAGGGTTAATCATTAGAACAAAAACCTAATCCTTAGCATTTAAGGGATGGTTCACCCAAAAATGAACATTTTGTTATCATTTACTCACTCTCAGGTTGTTCCAAAACTTTTATGAGTTTTCTTTCTTCTGTTAAAAGATGATATCTTGAAGAATGTGGGAAATTAAACAGTTGACTGTTCCCATTGACTTCTATAGTATAGTATTATTTTCCAAACTATGGAAGTCAATGGCTGCCAGCAAGTGCTTGGCTACCCGCATTCTTCAAGATATCTTCTTCCCTTTAAACTTTGGTGCATAATTTACTGTACACTGTTAGCTTCAAGCTAATACTGTACCTCAAATCATGCAACTTACATTTATATTCATGCACACGGAAGATGCATTTTATCAGTTCATGCATTCCCTGGTAATTGAACCCATGACTTTGGCATCACAATATTTACATTTATATTTGGCACTTTAATCCAAAGCAACTTGCATTGAATTTAAGTTGCACATTTCATCAGTTCAAATTTATCATTTTATCAAAAAACCCATGATTTCGGCGTTGCCAGTGGCATGATCTATTGTTTGAGCTACAGGAACTTGTTGTGAACTATGTGTTATTGCATTTGTAAGTGCACAGGTGCTTCTTTACAACAAAGCACCAACCTGGCAACCATCCACAATTTACAAGCAACTCTATGTGAAATACACAACAAAATAAAAATGGTAGCTGTGGTTGCCAGAACTTTACTGTAAAAAAAAAATGGTAGCAAAATGTTAAGTTTTACAGATTGAACATAAATTTACAGTAAAATAATGTTTATATACTAAACCTTTATTATATATGGACAACGACCTTAAAAACACAGGTGGTAAAGAAAAAGTCACATGATGAATTTTCGAACACAAATAGCTTTTAAGCTGAGGTAAATACTAATATATAAAAGGTGCACATGGTGTTATACATACAAATACAAACACTGGTAAACTCTAAGATGACTTCCTGTTTTTCACTTCCAAAAACTGTAAATTTTTAAATTTACATGATATGTACGATTAGATCCATTACAGTTTACAGAAACTTACTGTTAACCAATTGACAGTTTTTATCGTAGGATCTTTACAGTCTTTTACCGTTAAAATAAAAAAAAAATTATAATAGTGTCTGCTAATAGACTACTTACTGGCCACGTACACAAGATAAATTCAGGTGTCAATTCATTTTTTATTGCTGAATCCTGTTCTCTACACAAACACTTCAGTAATTTACAGAAGTGACTGCATTCTACAACCGAATTAACTCCTGAAAATGCAGGTATTAACAACCTCATTTATAGAAATTCTACGCAGTGTGTATGGAACCGAACTGAACAACTAAATGTTATTGACATATTTAAATGCATATCAGAGTTGTGGTGCAGGAAATGACAGGGAACGAGGTACGTCTGGACTCATTCGTGTTGCCAGATCTCGCTATAAAAAACAGCAAATAAGAACAAGCCTATAGTAAACTTAAATCCAAACTAGAGTATGACCGATATTTGGTTTTACCGATATTAAAGCATTTTTCCATTATCGGATATCAGTTTTGTGATATCGGATTCACCGATATTCATCTTGTGCATGCAAGACTTCCATTACGGCACTGCATCTTGAAGAGAGACGAGTCAACAACCGCGTTTACAGGTAAAGTGACTTGATTTGCTTAAACTGATATGCTTTATTTAACATATCAGCCAATAATGCAAAAATTAGATGTGTTGCATAACTGATTGATATGTAGTTTAAGCTTGGCGTTGAGAAATAGAGATAAACTCAAGGAGAGTCACACAAGCCATGCCCCCAAAAAAGTCATGCCCCAAAGACGTAACTTTACATGGGTTAAATAAGACAGACAAATTAATTTGTACACATTCTGCACACACACACACACACACAACTGTAATTTAGGGAATTCACTCCTGTATTTAAATGCGGTTGTCACTGAAACTTTACAGTGTGTATGTGGCCACTTACAATGTGTAACCAAAACTGGTTCGATATTGTATTTCAATTCTCATTTTGATGAGTTTTACACAAGCAGCAAATTTCATTTAACTATTTTCAGCAATACTTTTCAATATTGCATGCATCATAATATATTGTGGATGCTTTTTTTCCCCACAGAGCTTGTAGTAACGCATTATGGGACGCCCACCTGGCCATCATGCTCTGGACAGGACTGAGAAATGTTTTGATGTTGCCACAAAAAGCCCGTCTGCTGCCAAACCCCCATAGCAGCTTCCAAAACACAACATATGCTGGTCCGTCAGCAGGTGAACTGCATGCACAATGCACCCGCTTAACTTCAGTGCTTATGTGAATGTTCAGTCAAAAATGAGAGTATAAAGTGAGCGAATGATCAAACTCACCCCATCCGGTCCCACTCCACCGTTATTCTCGCAGGAAAGCCGGATTAACTCGCGTGCCCTCTGGTCCTCGCCGTCCGTATAGGCCTCTTGGATGTTCTTCAGAGTGGGCGAATGACTCAAGGGAACGCTGCCAACCGCCGACTGCTTGGCTCCCATCGCAGGAACGCCTGCGAACGGGGCATAGCCACCAGAAACAAACAAAACACTCAGTACAAGAGAACGAACTTCATGCTAAAATGAAGACGACACGATGGGAAATGAGCCCCAGATACAGGAGGCGAGGGAGCAGCCGGGAATCAGGTCAGCTTCATAAAGAATTCACATGCCTTTCCCCCAGGACTGGTGCGTGTGTATTTGTGGAGCGGCGCTCTTCCATGTTCACCTTTGGCATTATGGGACGCCCACCTGGCCATCATGCTCTGGACAGGACTGAGAAATGTTTTGATGTTGCCACAAAAAGCCCGTCTGCTGCCAAACCCCCATAGCAGCTTCCAAAACACAATATATGCTGGTCCGTCAGCAGGTGAACTGCATGCACAATGCACCCGCTTAACTTCAGTGCTTATGTTTTGCAATGTTCAGTCAAAAATGAGAGTATAAAGTGAGCGAATGATCAAACTCACCCCATCCGGTCCCACTCCACCGTTATTCTCGCAGGAAAGCCGGATTAACTCGCGTGCCCTCTGGTCCTCGCCGTCCGTATAGGCCTCTTGGATGTTCTTCAGAGTGGGCGAATGACTCAAGGGAACGCTGCCAACCGCCGACTGCTTGGCTCCCATCGCAGGAACGCCTGCGAACGGGGCATAGCCACCAGAAACAAACAAAACACTCAGTACAAGAGAACGAACTTCATGCTAAAATGAAGACGACACGATGGGAAATGAGCCCCAGATACAGGAGGCGAGGGAGCAGCCGGGAATCAGGTCAGCTTCATAAAGAATTCACATGCCTTTCCCCCAGGACTGGTGCGTGTGTATTTGTGGAGCGGCGCTCTTCCATGTTCACCTTTGATGTAAAGAGCACCTACTCAGGGGTGGGAGTGAGATCAGGAAGATCTGGGGAGACTGAATGGATAGTGATACTCACACACAAGCGCTGCAGATCCAAACATGTCTAAAAGCAAACACACACACACAAAAAATCTGGACACAAAACACACTTAAAATAAAAAAGGCATGTATGCTGGTACTGTAGTTTGCATGAAATATTTTTTGGGAAGTTGACATGCTCTGTGGTGACATGCAAAACTTAATCTAAAATTATTTTATGTGGCATTTTGATAATTCTTTAAATCCACCATTTAAAATGAACTAGCAAAGGCAAAAGGGTGATTAAAACTACTCAAAACTATCAAATAAAAAATAAAAACAAAAATTTCTAAAAAATAAAGGCTAAAAATCCTGATGATGCTAAAAAAGATTTCATGCATCAAGCACACGTCCACTAAATTTATTCTAAAAATACAGCTAAATATGAATAAAATGACAGGTATAATTCCAACAGATAGACAGACAGAGAGATTATTTTAGTATTAATTATTATAATATTATTTATTAATATTTTGAATTAGCTTTTATTGTTTTCATTTGAATTTTAGTTGAATTTTTATTTGTTTTTTATGTTTCAATTTCAAGCTTTAAATTAATTTTTTCCAACGTTAGTACGGTAACTTATTTTATTTCAGTTAGTTGCTAAGGCAACATTTCAATTAGTTTTTTTGTTTTGTTTTTTGTTTTTCATCTAAAAATTGCATTTTATTTCAGCTTTATTTCAATTAACGAAAACAACAGTTAATAGAAAACTATTTTAAAACTTCAGATAGAACGATATGGATGCAATTAATCACGATTAATCATTTGACAGAACTAAGATAGATAGATAGATAGATAGATAGATAATTTAACTTCAGAAGCTTGAAATATAGAGCACGAGGCTTTTATGGTGTTGTTAGAATTAAAATGACATGAGGGTGAGTAATTGAGACCGAATGATCATTTTAGGGCAAGCTTTATTAGTCTGTGTGATTATTGAATCATGAGTTGTCATTGCTCTGTGTAGATCAGCGGCCGGACTACGGTGTGCGGGAGTGTAATGATACCAATCCAAGAGGGCAGTGAAGGTTAAATCAATCACTCCCTCCTATTATTCACATTACTCCATCCAGCCCTTTAACATTTATCTGGCAAATGTGGCCGTCGGCAGACACTGCTCCATTAACAGCAGGTCTGCTCCGATGTAAAGGAGCCGGAGCTGTGGGTAAGTGCCTGTGCGCTTTAATAGAAGAGGCTCATATGAATAATTGAGAACGTTTTTCTGATGAGCGGCTGGAGAAAGCCTGAGGGAGGGTAACCATTAGACATCCAGCCTGCATCAATACAGGCTTAGCTCACGTCCCACCCAGAACAAATCAACCTGGAGGAAAAAACCAAAGCCAAGACAATAGCTCTGCTCTGAAATCTAACAAGCTAGAAACCTAGACAGATTTTAAGATGCTCCTACTGTGAAGGACATATAAGCATAAATACGGATCAAGGTTTGCTTCATCACCAAAGTGGCTTGAGTGAGTCGCTTCAAATCACCAACTCTCTATTAAAACGAATAACTTGTGTCACTGTCAGTGTGAATGCGTGTTAAAAGGATAGTTCGTCCAAAAATTTACTCATTTAAACAGTTGCCGGTAGCCATTGACATACCATGGAATACTATAGAAGTCCATGGCTAAGGGCAACTGTTTGGCTACCAATATTCTTAAAAATGTCTTCTTTTGTGTTCAACAGAAGAAAGAAACTCATGCAAGTTTGGGACAACTAGTGGGTGATTAAATGAGAGAATTTTCACTATAACGTCAAGGCACATACTGTAACTTAAAATAATAAAAAAAACAGCAAAATGCATCAGAAAAAGATGCAGTGAAAAAGATCAAATGGGAGAATCGTAGACTATAAATACCCTAATATTTCATTAAATAATTAAACACAGACAATTTAAACAATATTTGTGTTGTGTATTTATTGGAGTTACCGTATCATTAACTCTGTAACATGGTAATGTCAAAACTGTAAAATGAGCTTTTATTTTTTATATTTTCTGTTTACACTTGAATTTTTAGTTTAAGTTTCAGCAATTTTGTTGTTTTTGTTATTTTTAAATTAAATGTATTTTTTTCAGTAATTAATCATATTAGATAGGCAGACAGATAAATGTTAAAATTGGAGACTTTAAACACATTAATAACTGAAAATTATAGATAAAAATGGCAGTAATTAAAAAAAAATAGCTAATTACTAAATCAAAAGTGTGTTGTGTTCCAGACTGGAAATGTTCTCAAACACTCTGGAGCTTTTCTGGATGTTACTGACTTTCAGTGGACTTCTTCTGATCAACAGACAATAACAGCTGTACAAAATACATCTTTCATCCATTCAAATCAAACTTTCAGTGCGTAGAGATTCCAGATCATGCACAAGAAAATGGTGTTATCACTTCTGGCTATGTTCATTCAGTAATGTGTCTCTCTACTAATTTCTACTTTCAATATGATTCATGTGAAGATAAAAATTGAGAGTCACTGTCAACATTGGGCTGAGCAATATTTTGTATATTCACAATACATTTGCAATGATTTTGCTAATTATATAAAATCAAAAATTGTGTTAGAGTTGGTCAGTTTGATTCATTAGCAGAATTATGGATTATGGACTTGTACTTTAGTCAGAAGCAACCGTTTGAAGTTAAAAATGTCTTGATGGATTTGTTTCTTACAAACACGCAGCTTTTCACTTCACAAGACATTAACTGATGGACTGGAGTGGTGTGGATTATTGTGATGTTTTTATCAGCTGTTTGGACTCATTCTGACGGCACCCATTCACTGCAGAGCATCCACTGGTGAGCAAGTGATGCAATGCTATATTTCACCACATCTGTTCCCATGAAGAAACAAACTCATCTACAGCTTGGATGATCTGAGAGTGAGCACATTTTCCTTTAATGCGCTTTAGTTTGAACTGTCAGTTTCAATGAATCAATTTAAAATCTGACTTAATGATTCATTTGCATAATCACTCTTAAATGTTCACTAAAGTCTCAACATGGCATACTGCGTATATAAATGCACAAATATTGAGATATATGTTAAATGTATTTAAAGCCTGAAAAATATCAAGATGTAATTTTAGCTCAAGTCTAAATGTGACACAATGCAAACCTCTTGAATTTCAGCTCTTGAAAAGTCACTTAAACACTCATTAGCATATAAATGAGACACATTAACACTTACTCAGAATCTGCTGATTAGATCAAAGTCATCTAAATTACACTTTTTTCATTCTTTCTCCAGTGCAAAAAGCTTTTTTTGATCACATTTAATCCCCTTAAAATATAGAAATTTTTGAAGAGACACTAAAATCTTGTTTTCGACTAACTTCAACTAAGAAAAGAACAAGCTATCAAGACCATTTAAACCACGTGACAAATCAGACAATGTGAGTGACGCCAACAAAGAAATCTAAGAAACAAAAAATAAACGACTTCCTTGTTAAAGCGCAATCTCTCTTATAAGTTCAGAGAATTCAATTACAGAATTTGAAAGCATTGAGTCAATGAAAGGTTCACCAATGCTATCACTTCCTAACCACAATTCACACTGACCTGAAACGCTGAAAAACGAGACATTCACAATGCAAACGTACCTTATCATTCTGCCCGGATCTATCCGGCAATCATCTCATTATTGTCTGTCAGAAGTCCAGAGGCTCGATGTACGTCCAGTACCTGTGAGCATTAGCCCGACTCTGTGCCTATAGAGTGAAATGATGCTTCACACAATGAGCCTCCCGTCTCCTCCCTGTGTGCTGTCCTTAATGGCAAGGTTATCTTACACTGCATACACATTGAAGAGTGAAACCCAACCCTCACGGCCGGCTGCTGTGTCTCTGTCCCTCCCTATAGAGGACCTCAGATTGGGTTTGCAGCTACAGCTCAAGCCGCACTAAACCAGATTAGCACACTGGCCTCCTTCTGCAACGTGTGTTTCTGTCACACGAGACCAGACGACACACTCAATCACACACACACACACAGACGTGACAGGACTCAGACATGAGCCGCGCTAACACACACACCGATGGACGCACGCGAACTCACGGTTGCTAATGGCAACGGTGTTGCTGATGCTGAGTCGGCAGGAAAATGGAAACCCAACACCTATGACATGAGGTTTCACCTCTGGGGGGATATTGACTGTTTTTTGTGGGATGCTTACTTCATCGTTTTCCGGAAAAATGCAACCGAGCACAGCACAGAAACTCCATATACAGGTGCATCTCAATAAATTAGAATGTCGTGGAAAAGTTCATTTATTTCAGTAATTCAACTCAAATTGTGAAACTCGTGTATTAAATAAATTCAATGCTATAGGGTCATAGAAAAATATAGTTGTTTGGACCAAATCAAATTTTGTTGTTGTTGTTGTTAATTGACCAACAACAATTATCATCAAATTTTGAATCAGAAGTTGAGATTTGTTTCATATGATGACTGAAGCATTTAGCAATTTTTTGTCACACATAATACTCCCTGAGGAAAAGGTGCCACTGTTAAATAACTACCACAATATAATTTGATTTATATGTTGCAAAAAATTATATATCCAGACCCCATTTTTTTTTTACTTTCAATATTCAGCATATAGAAATATTAAAATAAAATACAAATTAAAATAAATAAATGCCTCTCGATATTCAATAAATAAATAAATACATTTATTTATATAGATTTGGAGACCAACTC